AACAAGAAACCCTCACAGCCATGGAGTCAATTCTGACTCACAGTGCCCCTATCGGACAGGGTAGAACTGCGCTGTGGGTTTCTGAGACTGTCACTACGGCAATAGAAAGCCTTGGCTTTCTCCCATGGAGCAGCTGCTACTTTCAAACTGCTGACATTGTGGTCAGTAGCCCAGTGGGCAGTGGGTAAGAGTTTAGGTTTGCAGCCAGATATAATTGAGTTTGACTTCTTATTTTACCCTCCTAGCTTGGTAATTGTAGGCAATCAGACATCTCATCTTTCAGAAGTCCTGGTATCGTAGTGGTTACACATTGGGTGCAATGTGAAAGGTTGGCAATTCAAAACCATTAGCTGCTCCTCGGGGGAAAGATGGGGCTTTCTACTCCTGTAAACAGTTACAGTCTCATAAACTCACAGAAGCAGTTCTACTCTGTCCTATAGGGTCACGAGGAGTCAACATAGACTCCATGACAGTGAGATTAGTTTTTTGAGATCTCCATCTTTTTGAGCCTCAGTTTCTTCATCTGTTAAATGGAGGTATTATCTGCCTTTTAGATTTGCTATGAGGTGGGGAGGAGATATTAATTGCAAGCTTCCTCTGAATGGCAGGTTCTCTGTAAATGGTACCTGTTATCATTATCATTATTGTTATGCCAAAGACACACAGTGGGCTTCCATGTAATCAAGGAGTTAGCGATCAGAACTGGAAGGAACCGTGAGGAATTGTCTAGTCTGGGTCCAACCAATACTTGGCAGGGGTGAGCCACTCTCCTCTATCCTGCCCATGATCTGGCCTCAGAGCCATTCCCAACCCAGGGTTCCAGGTGACTGTTACCACGCGACTGTTACATCCAAACAAGTATCGCCTGTCTAATCCCACAGCCTCTCCAACAAATCAGGCAATTCAAGTCCAGACAGAACAAGTAATCTACCTCAGGTCACACAGTGGATAGGAATTATAATGAGATGGCATTGAAGATGTATCAATAAATCCTATCACCTTGGTCTACCCACTACTCATCGCCAGGAAACACAGACAACCAATTGGAACAACTTTCCCAGTTATGGTCATTACTTAGCATGTGCCTGGCACCCAGAATGCACTTCTTTCCATCTCCTTCTGTTCAAATCCCAGCCCTCCTGCACCTATTAGAGCCAGTCACCTAGAATCCACCCTTGACCATAGTCACTACTAGACTTCCCCCAAAGGCCTTGAAATCTGTCTCTTCAGACTACTCTTCTCCCCTCCCCTGGGTTTCTTTCTAACTCTCCTCCTCTTTGAGCCGTGACTGCTGGAAAAGCTCAGAGGAAGAGAGGAGGCACACTTTGGGCCAAAGGGGACACAGCTCACTTAGCTGCAGCCTAACATGCTTCCAAATCTAGTGCTGCCTTCCGGCCAAATCTGACAACGGCCTCCTTCCTCCCAGGACAATCTGCCCTAAGGCCCTAATTGGAAAATCCCCTCTTCTACATCATTTTCCTTCCTTGATAGAAACGATGGCCTTGACTTAGGACTCTCAGTGGAGAAAGGATTAAAGTAAAGATTTAGAAGTTAGGGATCTGGAACTGATCTTAACTTCTTATCTGCCTTGGGCAAAGTTACGTCCCAAACCTCTGTATAATAGCACAATGGGTCCCTGTCCCTCACAATGTTATATGGGAACTTCTAAAGGATCACATGGGATCAAGGTCAAGGGCACATGCCTAACCACTTACCTGCAATTAGGCCAATCTCACACTTGGGATCTTCATGGGCGCAGGTCATCATGGTCCCTACCGTGTCATTGACAAGGGCAACTATGTCCAAGTCAAATTCCTGCAGAGAAAGTCATCCTACTGTAGGTAGAATATACATGTCAAGCAGACTCAAGAGAAACATTCCAACCCAAAGGGTATACAACCCCAAGGATTAGAGACCAGAGTGACAAAGGCTTGGTTGGCATAGGATGGCAGAAGAAAGACTCCACTGGAGGAACATGACATCATAGATGAGAAACACCACGCATACCCATCAAAGGTGGCCCCTCTTCCCCCCAAGGATAACACAGCCACTACCTTTTCAGTCCGAAAATGTGAGCCCCTAGTGGATATAGACATACAGTTAAGTCAGAAGGAATGTGTCCCCTGAAAACAGATGTGGTACTCAGATGCCCAACCTGAAGTTCAGAGCTAAGTACCCATAGCATACATTTCTCCTCTTGATGGCTTCCCTGAGCAGGTCCACCACGTCTTCCCCTTCACAGTCGGTGGCCTTAAAGCCTTTAGTCCACTCTACAAGGATTCCCTGAAAGAAAGGAGGGGGAGTTCATTTGAGCAATAATTTGCTGGGATCACTCCACAGCAACATCTAAAAGATCCAGAGCACTCTAGTTTGATGTGTTTCTCAGTGTGATTCCATCTCTGTAGCCCCAGCACTGAGCATGGAGGCTTCTCCCACCATGATGCTCAGTGTCTATTGCTGAATGGAGGAATTACAGCAATTCATATCTATCACAGGTCAACTCATGTTCCCTGGCCATGACTCCACAGAACATACCTTGGGATCATAGCGGTCCTACTTCTAATCGGGCCCAGGACAGAATCAAGATATGGGAAAAGATAAAAGCTACAAACTGTTCATCAAAGCTTTGTTCCACAATGGAATACTAGTGGATTCCTGTAATTCCAACAATATGACTCTTATCACTTTGTACATCCACATAGGAAATATTATACAACCATAAAAAATCCTGCTGTCAGGACCAAACAACAGAAATGTGGGTGAAGGGATACAGTGAATGGTGTAAGATATGAAAATAATAATCATTTATCATTTATCAAGGGCTCATAAGGGCGGGAGGATGGGGAGGAAGGGTAAAAAGAGGAGCTGATACCAAGGGGTCAACTAGAAAGAAAATGTTTTAAGAATGATGATGGCAACATATGTACAAATGAGTTTCACACAATTGATGTATGGATTGTTATAATAGTTGGAAGCGCCCCCAGTAAAATGAATTTTTTTAATCCTGCTATAAGAGAACATTGGATTTATAGAAAGGTTTCATCATACAGTGCTGTTAAGATGGTACCCCGTTTCCCTTAAGCTTCCACACAAATGCCTCTGCCTTGTCCTCAAACCAAAACAAAACCCCAAACAAAAACAAAAACAGACTCAGTGTCATTGAGTAAACTCTGCCTTATAAAAACTCGATATAAGAGAGTATAACTGCCCCTAGGGGCTGTAGCCTTTTACAGGAACAAAGAGCCTCATCTTTCTCCCTTGAAGTGGCTGAGGGGTTAGAACTGCTGACCTTACTGGTAGTAGCTCAATGTGTAGCTCACTTTGCCACCCAGGATCTTACTAGAGTCCTAACTTCCCAATAAAAAACCTTCACCAATTTAACATAAAATCGATCCCCAATTAAAAGGAGATGCTTTTATCCAAGAATTCCAATAAAGACTTGGTAAAATGTTTTAGAATGATTATAAATTACCTAGTGGGGTTCTTATTATCCTTTGATGCTCTTCCATGTCCACTAAATAAATATCCATCTGATAAATTCTTCCTGCGACTCTAAGATCAGGAGAGCCCTGTACTTCCTCTGATGAATTGTAAGCTTGCTTTCATCAGACAGCAAAGACCTGACGACCCCATTTATGTTGGCTTCCCAAGAACATACACGTAACATTGGTGTCTGATGTTATTATCAGTTGTAATTGGTCAACTTATGTGTCATGGCTCCTTTCCATATGTTTGAGTAACCTTTTAACGGTTGCGTATAGCTTTTTTACTGTATTGCTAAATTCTTCTAGAAGGTTCAACCAAAAAAACAGCAATAAAAAATGGAGTATTACAGATATTTTAAAGCTCACATCATTAGAGTTCTCTATCATGTTTCCCCAGCTGCTGAATCGATGAAGACCCATTGATAACATGAACAGTGACTCTGAGGGAACTTGAGGTCCCGTTGGTGGAGAGGGGGTGGGGGCATGCCCAGAGGACTGCAAGCCTGGCTGGCCCGCCTTACCTTGTCAATGCTCGTCTGTCTGCAGGGAAAGGAGAAGGTGAAGCCCAAAGGCAGTTGGGCTCCCTTGAGCCCCATGTAGTCCAGGAAGTCTGCGATGCACTGCACGATGTGGTCAAACAGCTGCGGGGAGAGAGGGGGGCCGTGGGATCTGCTGGCAGGTCGGCACCCAGGAAGCACAGGAAGCCCCACCCCGCCCCTGGCAGTTACCTCCTCGCCTGTGCCCTGCATGATCTCCAGGGGGATGGCGAAGATCTTATTGTACATTCGCACCGAACTTCGCCCTTTTCTGAACTTCACCAGGAGGACTCGAAAGTTGGTTCCACCCAGGTCCAGGGCGAGGAACTTCCCTTTCTCTGTGGGACAGAAAGTGGGGGCTGCATTCGACCACCACGGACCGAGCAGGAGCGTGTGGGGAAGCATTCGGAGAAAGGGGGAACCCTAAGAAAGAGCTGACCAGAGCCTGTCCTCTTATGAATTATGGGCCAGAAGGTCATGAGGAACTGGGCCCTGAGCTTGTCTTTCTTGTGCTGGGCAATGGCCTAGACACCACCTAATCTCCAAAGGGGCTGTGGACTGCCATCAGGGGACTCGGCAGTTCTGAGAAAGGAGCTTTTCATCTTGAGCAAGAGAATCAATATAGGTCCTGTCTCCCACATCGATAAATTGGGGAGGGGTCCCTGGAGGCACATGCAGTCTGCGCCCCAAAAGGGTGGAGGTTCAAATCCACAAAAAGAGTACCTTGGAAAAAGCCCATGGAGCTAATTATAATCTGCCACCTATGGGTTCCTATCAGAATGGCAACTTTACAAAAATAATAATAAGGGAGAGTGTACCATCTGAAGGCTTTTCCGGCTCCAAATTCCTTTCATTGGCCTCCTTCTGGGGTGTCTGGTAAAGGGCACATGTGACACTTGTGGCCAAGGACCTCTGGGGGTACATCTGGGCCAGGCACCAGCTGGATCAGACCTTCTCTCCGCAGCCAAGGGGACTTGTTCATGACAAGCCCAACATGATGCCTCCCGTCTCCATGCTCTCCTCCGCAGCGTCCCACAGCCCCAGTCACCTAGTGAGAAACGCTGTCGAGTGCTACCAAGTCAACACTGCTGTGCGGGCCGCCCGAGGACAGAGACCTCGCCCAGCGCCCCCGTCTGCTCTAGGGAAATGTCACGCTCATTCTGCAATCCTCACCCTGGTCCTTTTCGGGGGTGGGGGTGGGGGCTGATTTGTGAATGTTCCCAAGACAGCCCTCCAAACCAGCTCCCTAACCCTTACCCTGCCCTGTACTTCCTCAGCGCCTGCCATTAGCCGACATGACAGGACAATGATCTGTTATTGTTGGACAGTCCAGCAGACTGTGGACTCCCCGAGGGCAGGGACTGTTTCCTTCCGTGCTGGCTGTTACCAGTACCCAGACTAGGGCCTGGCACACAATAGGGGATTAAAGGACAGGGGATTCTGGGAATGAAAGAACGAATAATTGAACAGGACCCTTTGTTTCCCTCAGACTTCCCCCATGTAGGCACACAGGACACTGCCTCCAGGGACGACCTTGGAGATCGTTGCTGTTAAGAGACTCCTAGTCCAGCTGCATGACCACCAGGAGGCCAGTAATCTATGAGGCCTACCTAGTGTATAAAGTATAAGGTATAATGTATGGGACAAATGAGAGTGAATGCTCAAAAGCAAATTATAAAATGTAGAGATTTTACCAACTTTGGTTCCAATTGAAGTTGTAAGCATCAAAGAGGGGGAATTAAAAATAAACTCACAGCCACCAAGTCAATGCTGACTCGTAGTGACCCCCTGTGGGTTTCCAAGGCCGTAACCCTTTGTGGAAGTAGAAAACCCAGTCTTTCTCCCGGGGAGCTGCTGGTGGTTTCGAACAGCCGACCATGGAGATCACAACCCAACACCTTACCACTATGCCACCAGGGCTCCTAAGAGGTGGTATAGCTTGTCCAAAGAACTGACTCTATTATATTTGGTTAGGCTTCTCTCAGCTGAGCACAGAGAACCTAGGGGAGGATCAAGGGTTGGAAAATCCAGGGACAGCAATGATGAGAAGGAAGAGGGAGCGCTAAGTCCTGAAACAGCAGAGTCACAGAAGGGAGACAAGAAGCCTAGGCAACCCCACGCGTCGATGGAAGCTTTCCAGGGTCAGGATGTGGGCCTTCTGTTCGCTAACAGCACTGAGTACTACTTAGACACACATGCACAAGTAGACACTACACACACACAAACACACACACATTTCGCACCTAACAAGAGATTCTTTCACTGCAAATGCCTTGGTTGATCCAAGGCTAATAGGTTGACAAGAAGTACGGGTCACCTACCCTACTCATCCTCCACCCATCCCATTACAGACATGAGTCCAAGGCTTTAAAAACAAAACCCCTCACTGGCTATAAGGCGCTTTCATGGAAGCTCGGGGAGGCCTGAAGGAAGGGGCGGGGCTGGCCCACCTGTGCCGTCAGGCAACCCGCAGACGTAGGTGGGTAGCATCTTGACCGTGGCCATCGGGTGGGTCTCCTTCTTCAGCCCGTACTCAAGCTCAGCCCTCATTCTGTTCTTCACGTCCACCAGGTTGTCTCGGGTCAGCTGGAACAGAGCCAGCACCTCATCGATCTGCTTCCGCTGGGCCTGAACTCGGGAGGCCACCGCAGTCACCATGGCAGCCCCCTTGGTGCTGCCACTCTCGGACAGGAGGAAGCGGACGTCACAGTTTGGGGCCAGTTTCCTCACCACCTTGTGCAGGCGTTTTGGGTACCTGAAGACAAGGTGGTGGGAAAATATTTAACCATCAGAAATGGCACACCCAGACATGGAGAACAGAGCCAGGATTAGCCATGGCAGGGGACCCGGCAAGAGTTGCTGGGCCAGGCTCACCCCTTCCGTTGCTGAGTGGTAGGGGGCACAGATGCAGGGGATTAAGGAGAGGGGCTATAGCAGGAGCAGTGTACGAGGCAGCTGGCTATTTTGTCATTAAGATCTCAACCAGTAGGGCCCGTCCACACATAATGTAGTGCCTAAACAACATCATCTCTGTCCACAGGGAGAGATTGGCTTCCCCAGCCCCTTTCAGGTGTTCCCACTGACATCCAACACAACCACCTGGCTCTCCTTCCTTCTGGGAAGTTCTCACGTTTCTGTATTGTCCTACCCAGATCCTGCAGGTAAACGTGGCAGCCTCTGTCACCCCTGCTTCCCTGTCTAAAATTGAGTGTGTGTTATTTTCCAGTTCTACCACATAGCAGGTTCTCAACAAGTAATGGGTAGGTAGGTGAGCGGACGGATAGATAGATGGACAGATAGATGAATGAACTCGCACCTGGATAGATGATGGCCTTGCTAGTTAGGGAGCTGACTTTAGCTCAATGTTCCTCTAAGAAAGACCCCTTCCCTTCCCAAAGCAGCCCTTGTAATCTCAGGACCAGTCAGCGTGGCTGATTCGGATACCCAATGCAAAACACTCAAAGAAAAAAATGCAAAATAGTCTTTTAAAGTTTCATGAGAGAAGAGAAGCAAGGGCAAGTTTGAGGAAATAACAGATAGGAAGTTTTGCTGACACCAGAGAAGGGTCATAATGATTCCTGGGGATGGCGATTGAGGAATGTGCACACATTTTACTTGCACAAAAGATCTGTGACGTTAAAAAAAATAATAATAGATGAGTTTGTGGCTCATGTGTAACCCCCAACCCTCCTGTATAAAATCGCTCTTCCCTTTCCAAACTGTTGCTGATCCAAGAACAAAGTCCCTGGAAGCGCACATGAGGGGGCGCTGAAACCCTGCATAAGGAAACACAACGTCCTGTTGGCTCACTTGGTGTGGCTGGATTGACTCCGTGCGCACCAGACACCACCTGCATTTGGGAGCTGATGAGCCGCATAGTCCGGTTGCTAGGCAGCACTTACTGGGGGTGTGTCTTGTAGAGGGTGCCGTCCACGCCCACCGTGGTCCGCAGGCGCACCAGCTTCTTGTTCTCACGGAGGCGCGTCAGGATGGCCGCCAGGGCGGCTGCGCAGAGATTGGCTGAACGGAAGGACACGATGGTGCAGACCTGCTGGACCGCAGCGCAGTCGGCCTCCGAAGGCTCCAGGCCCAGGTTCGTTAGGATTTCTTTCGTGTTGGCAAGGCCTTCTTTATACCTGCCCCGGGGAGGAATGACACCATCACATCTGTTCACCCCCTGAAAGGCCAATTCCCCACCTCTCAGGACCGTGAAGCTTTATGAATAAGAGCAGGCATTGTCACAGACTGTCCGAGAGCAAAGCCCTTAGGCGCTTCGTTCACTGCAGGGACACGACTCCCAATAAGAAGAAACAGCCGCAAACAGCCATTAATGGCTGGACCTTGGAATGTGTGAAGTATGAATCTAGAACAATTGGAAGTCATCAAAGCTTAAAACGCAAAAACATTGGTATTCTAGGCTGAAATGGATGGTTACTGGCCATTTTGAAACAGGCAGCCTACAGTTGTCTATGCCAGGAATGACAGATTCAAGAGCACAGGGGTCACGATCATTATCAAAGAGGGCATTTGAAGGTCTATGTTGAAATGCAATGCTGTCTGTGATAGGATTATATCTATCTGCATACAAGGAAATCCAGTCAATGTAACTAGTTTCAAATGTATGCACCAACCACAAAAGCTAGTGATGCAGAAATTGAAGCATTAGACCAATGTCTTCCATCTGAAATTGATCAAATATTTGATCGAGATGCATTGATGATTATGGATAATTGCAATGCAGAAGTTGGAAACAAAGAAGGAACAGTAGTTGGAAAATATGTGCTTGGTGATAGAAATGGAGCTTGCATGCTGGAATTTTGCAAGACCACCTACTTCTTCACTGCAAATACCATTTTTCCACAACACAAGGGTGAGTATACACGTGGACTTCTCCAGATGGAATACGCGGAAATAAAATTGACTACGTTTTGGGGAAGAGATGATGGAGAAGCTCAATGTCAGCAGCTAAAACTAGGTTAGAGGCCAACAACGGAGCAGCTCACCAATTGCTCCTACGCAAGTTCAGATTGAAGCTGAAGAAAGTGAAAGCATGGCCAAGAAAGCCAAAATACAGCCTTAAATGTGCCCATCTGAAGTTCAAGAACAAACTTTACAATTGAACACTACTGGTGAATGAGCTGGTGATCTGTGGGAGGACATCAAAAACATCATACATGAAGAAAGCAAAAGGTCATTAAAAAGAAGGGAAAGAATGGTTATTATTGCATAGCTCTTCTTGATATGATTGAACTGTTGCATTGTATGATATGTAGATTATGTGCCAATAAAATTGTTTTAAAGAGATACAGGAAAGAAAGAAAAGATCAAAGTGGATGTCAAAAGAGACTCTGAAACTTGGTTTGAATTGTAGTGTAGCTGAGGCAAATAGGAGAAATGAGGGAGTCAAAGGGCTGAACAGAAAATTTCAAAGCAGGGAGGAGACGAGCCAGTCAGGATGCGATGTAGCAACAATGAAAAATACAACTTTCCTCTAGTTCCTAAATGCTTCTTCCCCTCCCCCACTATCATGATCAGGATTCTACCTTGCAAGTCTGACTAGACCAGAGGATGTACACTGGTACAGATAAGAACTGGAAACACAGAGAATCCAGGGCGGATGATCCCATCAGGACCAATGGTGTGAGTGGCGATACTGGGAGCATAGAGGGAGGGTGGGTTGGAAAGGGGGAACCGATTACAAGGATCTACATGTAACCTCCTCCCTGGGAGACAGACAACAGGAAAGTGGGTGAAGGGAGACGTCGGATAGGGCAAGATATGACAAAATAATAATTTATAAATTATCAAGGGTTCATGAGGGAGGTGGGAGCGGGGAGGGAGGGAAAAAAAATGAGGACCTGATGCAGGGGGCGTTAAGTGGAGAGCAAATGTTTTGAGAATGATGAGGGCAATGAATGTAAAAATGTGCTTTACACAATTGATGTATGTATGGATTGTGATAAGAGTTGTATGAGCCCCTAATAAAACGATTAAAAAGAAAGAATTATCCAGGGGGAAAAAAGAAAATTTCAAAGGGCAGCTCGAGAAAACAAAGTAAAATGTTATAATGCAATGTGCAAAGAACTAGAGCTAGAAAAATGAAAAGGAATCTCCTGCTCAGCATGTCTTCAACTAAAAGGACTCAAGATAATACTTCAAGCCTCAAACTGCAATGTTGAAAGACTCTATGGGCAAAATATTGAACAATGCAAGAAGCAACCACAAAAGATGGAAAGAATGCACAAAGCCACTGTACTAAAAAGAACTCGTTGAGATTCAATTATTTCAAGAGGGGGCATCTATCTAATCAAGAACCAGTGAGACTGAGGGAGGAAGTGCAGTCGGCAATGAAGGCTAAAGCAAACAAATACAGCCTAACCCAAGGCTCCAAGAACGGACGGAACGCTGATTGAGATGTGTGAACAAGTGACGAAGCTCTGGAAGCACTCACTCACCTCTGTCGGGAAATTTGCCAGACAGCTATCTGGCCATCTGTCTTGAAGAGATTTATATTTCTACCCATTCCAAAAAAAATGACTCAACAGAATACACAAATTATAAAACAACATGGTTAATGTCACACGCAAGTCAATTTTTGCTGAAGATCATCCAACAGTGCAGCAGTACTTTGTCAGGGAGCTGCCAGCAGTGCAGGCCAGATTCAGAAGAAGACATGGAACAAGGGATAGCATTGCTGATGTCAGATGGATCTTGGCTGAAAGCGGAGAATACCAGAAAGATGCTTGCTTGTGTTTTATTGACTATGTAAAGGCATTTGACTGTGCGGATCGTAACACAGTATGCATAGCCTTGAGAAGGGAATTCCAGAGCTCGTCATGGTGCTCATACAGAAGCTGTACATGGATCGTGGGGCAGTGTGGGAACAGAATGAAGGCATGCTGCATGGTTTAAAATCCAGAAAGGTGTGTGTCAGAGTTATATCCTCTCACCATACTTAGTCAATCTGTATGCTGAAGATAATTAAAGAAGCTGGATTATATGAAGAAGAACTCGTTTTCAGGATCAGAGGAAGGCTTATTAACAAGCTCCAATACGCAGAGGACACCACCTTGCTTGCTGAAAGTGACGAGGAGTTGAAATACTTGCTGATAGAGATCAAGGATTGCAGTTTTCTATATTGATTACAACGCCATAGAAAAAAGACCAGAAGCCATACAATTGGAGCAATAGGTAACATCATGATAAATGGAGAAAAGATTGAAGTTGTCATAGGTTTTTTTCCTTCCTTGGATTCACGTTCAATGCTCATAGAAGCAGCAGTCAAGACACCAATGATGCATTATGTTGGGTAAATCTACTGCACAAGACCTCTTTAAAAGTGTTGAAAGTTGAAGGGGTTACTTTGAGGATTAAAGTGAGCCTGACCCAAGTATTTTCAATTGCCTCAGAAGAGTGTATGAACGTTGGACGCTGAATAAGGAAGACTGAAGGATCGGTGCATCTGAATTGTACTGGTTCAGAAAATTGAAAGTTCCATGGACTCACAAAAGAACAAACAAATCTGTCTTGGAAGAAGTACAGCCAGAGTGCTCCTTAGAGGCGCGGATGTTGAAACTTTGTCTCACATACTTTGAACATGTTGTCAGGAGAGACCAGTCCCTGGAGAGGGACATCATGCTTGGCCGTGTATAGGGGCAGTGACAAAGAAGACCCTCAACAGAATGGGTTGACACCTGGCTGCAACCCTAGGCTGCAAGGTGAGACCAATTGTGAGGCTGGCACAGGACCCGGCTGTTTCCTTCTGTTGTACATGGGGTCGCTAGAGCCAGAACGGACTCGGCGGCACCTAACAACAGCAGGATCGCAAAAATAAACAGACCGGCGCCCGGGAATGTAAAATAATGATGTCAATGACAACAATGATCATAGCAGCCAACATTTAACAATCACTCGCTGTGTGCCGGGTCCTTGTCTAAGGACTTCACACATTTTAACTCATCTCCACAACTATCCTGTGGGGATGTGCCATCCTTGCTGTACTGAGAGACCCAGGGCACTGAGAGGTAAAGTCGTTTGTCTGTGGTCACAGTGCTAGCAAGGGCTCGAGCTAGGATTTGAACTCATGCAGTCAGATTAATAGCCCACGCTTTTGACTATTCTTTGTTTTTTACATAAGTATTGACTCATATATTTTATTATTTCGTAAGATAAATTTTTACACATTGACTTAGTCCCTCAAACTCACTTTCAATTTTTTATTAATCAACCTGTGCTATATGTTCATCTAATAAATTCAAATATAGATGTTTATAAAGTAAGCATTGAACACTTTCTGAACTACCATTATTACTATTTGTAGCCATTTCTTATGTTTTCTTCTAAACATTTTCTATGTTTATGAAATATTGGTATAGTCGGTTTAGAGGTTATTAAGAAAACACTGTACACTGCTCTATAGATGCACTGCCCAGTATGGTAGCCACTAGGCAGGTGTAGCTACTGAGCACTTGATATCTGACTGGTCTGAAATGAGTGTTAGAACTTATGCTATTAAAACATAATCAGATTTTGAAGACATAAAAGAATGCTAAGTAAATTACTAATAATTTTATATTGGTTATATATTTAAATGATAATACTGTGGTTATCTTGAGATCAACAAAATATATAACTAAAACAGATTTTACCATTTTTAATCTTTTAAGTATTTCTACTAAGAATGTACATTGATTTACATTATGCTTCTATCCTATATGCAACTTTTTTTTCTTGACAACATACTGTTTAGGGTATTTTTCAACTTTCACACATAGAAACCAACCTCATTTCTAATATTTCATTACTTTATTTAATCATAAATTACTCTCATTTTATTGTTTTTCTCATCCTATACATATCCAGCAAATGGCCTAACAAATTGTCACTTGTATAGAAATATATACAAGTCAGATCATGTAAACATTATTTTCCAAAAATCAAGAGCATATTTTCTCAAAGAAGAGTTATGCAGTCATCACCACAATCCATTTTAGAACATTTTCTTCATTCTTGTATCCATTACTATTAGATCCCCCGTTATCCCCAGCTTCCCCTGCCATAATCCTAAGAAACTGTTCATTTGGTTACTGTCTCAATGGATTTACCTAACCTGGGTTTCACAGAAAGACTATCTTGCCAAGCAACAACAACAAAATAAAACACAGAAAACCTTCAGTCCAAAAGAAATCCGAAAATAATAGAGGCTAGAACAAGTTAAAGTGGGCCAAAAGGGAAAGCAAATGGTAAAATGTTGAATTTTAACCTCACTGTATCTGTAGTTAATCCATTTTCCAATCTACTCTGAGATCAAGACTACTCACATCGCTGGTCAATGAACTGAGGGGATCCAACGGAGGCTTCATACACATGGGGCTCTGTAAATGAACTTTGGGCAGTTGCCGTCATCCATAGCCTTCTGCAAACCAAGTACCTGGAATTTAACCTCTAATGCAACCTCCTTCTCTCATGGATTTTATTATTAACAATCCTTTGAACGTACTAGCTGGTGTGCTTCTTCCATGAAAACTTAGCTGACACTTCACTTAGACGCCTGCTTATTTTAAGACAAGCCTTCATAGGAACTCCATCTCCACCAAGCAGTGCACAGACAGACTCTGTGAGTCAGGTGCCACTCTACCGAGCTCAGAATCTAAACTGATCACCTGGGTGAGGAAGCACTAGAACTGATTGTGTGAGGTATATGCAACTCTTGGTAAAAGCGACTTAACTATGGAAATGGATGATAGGTGAATTTCACATTAAGAAAACTACTAAAAATAAAGAAACTAATGTTGAAGGAGGAAGAGTTTTTGTTAAGGTGCATTGAATTTATATTAATGGTGGTGAAATAATTTGGAAAAGTATATCAATAATCATTGCACAGCTCGAAAAATATAATCAATGGCACTGAATTATACATGTAGAAGTTGTTTAACTGGAGAATGTTTGGTTGCGTATATTTTTGCCACAATTTAAAAAATAATTACACTAAAAACAACGAATACAAGTGAGAAGAAAATATCCTAAAATGAATTGTGTTAGTGTGAACTATGGAATTGTATGATATGTGGAAGAAGTGCCCATAAAACTGTTATAAACAAACAGACTGGTTGGGAAGCGTACAGCGATGCCGGTGTCTCTAAGCCTGAGGGGACAGGAACCTGAGAAGACTGGTGTCGCCACCTTCACCAGCCCGTGCCCATTCCAGATTCTTGTGTGAACAGACTCAAATGACCAGAGTCAAAGCCAGCACCTAAAGGGACCCGGGGACGGAGGTTCTTGCTATAGCAGAAGTTCTTCATGTGGATGTCAAAATCCTAATTGTGTGAGAAAATATATTTGTGAATGTGCATTTGGGGGGTTCAAGGGAGTAGAATGCGCATCAAATCCTCAAAGGGATCTCTGACCCCAAAGAGTTACAGGATATCGCTTTAGAGAAAAGACAGGCAACAAAACACGGGAGAGCATGAAACTTCAACCGCAGAATCCTTGGTTCATGAAACCAACAAGAATGCCCATTGGAGTCACGGCTGAGTGCTTCCCCGTGTGAAGCCATCCAGAGGCCTGAAATCCTTCTGGTAAGGAAGGAAGAGCTGCCTCCCAGGGCTGCCCCGTGATTGCTAAGCAGACCACCTGCTGACCCTCCCCCGCCCCAGCACTCAGCAGAACCAAGGCAGGTGGGGCCCAGCCAGCAGCTTACTTCTCCATGGCAGCCACGTGCCGCGTCTCAATCTTGTCCTTGGTGTGGAGAGCACAGGATGCCTTGCCGCCAAACAGGAGGCCGGCCCTGGTCATCTTCAGCAAGATGAGCCTGACGAGTTCCCCCAGGTACAAGCCACTGATCATCTTCTCAAACCTGCAATGTGGTCAAGAGATGCGTGGAAGCAACCCCTTGGGCTCGTCCGCATTCTTTTCCCAAAGACCACGAGCCACAACCCACACTATGGAGATGTGGAGTGGAAGAGCCCTCGATGGTGTGGTGTGGGGGAGCCAGCTACCCTCTCTGGCCTTCACTTTCCTCATCCACAAAAGTAAAGAGCTCAGGTAGAAGAGGTGCAAGATGCTCACCTGTCACAATGTGCTTCATGCCCTGCGTCTTTGTCAAACCACCTCTGGCTGTGGGCGTGCCACCCTTGGGAGGGGCACCAGTTGCCATGGGGTTCATTCTGCCTCGTGGTGACCCCCGTGTGTCAGAGGACAGTTGTGCTCCACGGGGTTTTCTGTGGCTGGATTTTCAGAAGGGACTCACTAGACCTTTTCCCAGGGGTCTTTAGGTGATCTGGACCTCCACATTTTTATAGTGCCATCAATTTCTTTGTTCTTCCTAAATTTCTGTGCTGTTATGCATTCAGTGTTTAGGGTGATGGCTTTTGTGTGGAATTGTCTCATTTGACAGACATGAATGGTTTTGTGTTGACAGAAAGAGATAAAGACTCTCATTTTAGAGATAAAGAGCCTCAGTTACAGAGACGTTTATAAGAAAGATCAATGGCTATAAAGTGTGCTGCACACACAAATTAGTTATTAAAGATGCAATAAAGGATGCTGAATGGCAAGAAGTTTTAGCTGAATGTCATGAATTCATTCTAATACTTCGCATTCTGACATTGTCTACTGAACTTTCAGAAAATGCTTTCAGGAAACCTGTACTGGATCACCCAACAATATATATATCATGTTTAAAATCATGTTAAAAAACCTTCCTATGGGAACCGATTACATGGAACTGTGTGTGACCTCCTCCCTGGGGGACAGACAACCGAAAAGTGGATGAAGGGAGACGTTGGACAGGGCAAGATATGACAAAATACCAATTTATAAACTATCAAGGGCTCATGTGGGAGGGGGGAGCGGGGAGGGAGGGGAAAAATGAGGACCTAATGTCGGGGGTTTAAATGGAGAGAAAATGTTTTGAGAAATGATGTACAAATACGCTTTACACAATTGATGTGTGTATGGATTGGGATAACAGTTGTATGAGCCCCTAATAAAATGTTAAAAAAAAAAAAAACAAACCTTCCTAGGATGCAAAAACTCTGTGCCGTATTAGCTGATCTTCGTCCCAGCAAACTCAGAATACATGAGTGCGGGTAGTGGAAGGCGAGGAGGGAAGTGCTCCAAAAATACTGGTGAATTAAAATTAGGGTGTGTCCAACAGACTACTCCATTTCTTTATCTGCCACAGAAAACTAACATTTGAGCCTTGCCCTATAAACTCATTGTGATGGATGACTAGCCACCACCAAAGAGCCTCCTAGGTGAGGTGGTGATGTGCCTGAACGAATGGGTATTTCCTGGTGGCAATGCCCAGAGTATGACAGTTCAGTACTTACAGTTGCTTCCCTGGGTGGAGAGAGCCGAGGTCCAGCTCCCTGTCAAACTCAGTGCGGATGTCTTCCAGAACTCCATCATCCCCAAAGGCCCCCCACTCCGTGTTGATGCACATCCTTCCCTCATCGCCTTCCACCAGGTCAATGTTGCTCATGTCCTCCATGTAACACGCGTTGCTGCCAGTTCCTGGACAAGGGATCAGAAGACATATACAGCGAGGGAAGGGCTTTTGGAAGGACAAAACCAGAGGAAAGTACAGCATTGCTTTACAACAGACTTACTTATTCTGTAACCACGGACCAAGGCTCTAATAGGGTTAAGTTTGTTGATTTGCACAGAAATGATAGTGAAATCGCCTGGCAAATGTCTGGGCAAAGTGACAATTTTGAAGACTCTGACGTAGCACACTCTGACTTGTAGACATTAACCATTGCAGAGGAAAGTTTATAAGAAGGATCGAGGGCTGTAAAGTGTGCTGCACACACAAATTAGTTATTAAAGATGCAATAACGCATGCTGAATGGCAAGAAGTTTTAGGTGAATATCATGAATTCATTCTAATACTTCGCATTCTGACATTGTCTACTGAACTTTCAGAAAATGCTTTCAGGAAACCTGTACTGGATCACCCAACGATATATATGAAATAGTTTATATACACCATGTTAAAAACCTTCCTAGGATGCAAAAACTCTGCGCTGTATTAGCTGAGGATAATACAAAATTTTACTTTTCCAATGACGAGTGGGCATCTTTCACATTAGTTTGGGAAACTGTAAAACCTTTTAAGAAAGTTACTGCAAGACTGCCAGTGAACAATTAACCATGAGTGATGGTTGGTGTGGGGGGATACCACTACCCCCACTCATGTATTCTGAGCTTGCTGAGACGAAGACCCTATTTCTCCCCCTCCCCCAAAGCAAGCCAGATCGAGTTACCAATGATGACTCCGACTTCGCAGTAAGGGTCATCGTAGGCGCACGTCATCATGGTCCCCACAGTGTCACTGACCAAGGCCAGGATGTCCACATGCAGGTCCTGCCGGAACACAAGCCCCATGGCGTGTCAGTGGGTGAGCCCGTGGAGGAAGCTGAAGCAGGGACCGCGATTGGTTCAGCCGAGAATTAGCTGCTACTCGCTGGGCCTGCCTGGGGGGAAGCCAGTCTCCTCCAGCAGCGTAGAAGCCATGGCAGGGCTGGGACAGAGAAGAGCCCATGGGGCTAAAGAGGGAACTTATGCTTGTTGCGCCTCTCTGCCCTGAAATAGGAGGGGCCGACTGCCAGGACCCAGCCCCTTGTTTGCAGAAGCCTGGGAAGAGATCTAAGGAAGCATACTTCATCTGGGAGAACAGCACTTTCAGGAGGGGTCGCCCACAGGGCCCGCCCGGGGCCAGCACCAGGGATCCCGTCTGGGCCTCCTCTGCTGAGGCAGCTTGCGGTCATGCACCAAGTACAATGAGAACAGTAAGAGCAAGCAGGTTATGAATGAATACAATTCTCGTTTTAAAAAGAAAGGGAGACTTAACATCAGAACCTCCCACCTGCTGCCAGGGGAACGGGCAGCTTGGTTTATCTGTGTGCTTTTTCAGCTCCGCATGGAAAGTGTCCTGCTGATGCAATTACTTAAATTATTTTCAAATCCATTGAATGAAGAGAGAAGGGGTGTGAGATTGGAAAGAAGGTGGTGCCTTAAGGCTCTGGAGGGAGAGGAGGGGCCTGTGGCTGGCTGGGGAGGCCTGGGAAGTTCAGGGTCACCTTTCAAAGACCAGCCAGTGATATGCACAAGTCTCACATACTTATTGGTGGATTGACCAAACCGTTCTCAACTCCACGTAGTGCAACGTTCCCTGAGACTCCTTGGACCATTCTTCTGCCAGGGCAGGTACGGTACATAGTCCCTCACCCCCCCACCGCCACCCACCCCTCCCAGTGAGAAAGGACTGGGAGAGCTCCCCGGCCAGGGGGACTCCTCACCGGGTGTTTCTGCAGCGCCCTCCGCAGGTGACTCACTACATCTGTGTCCTGCACTCCTCGAGCCTTAAACTTCTTGGTCCAAGAAAGCAGGACACCCTGTGGGAAGAGGTCAGCTCAGGTCAACATGAAGGAGGGTCTCAGCTGTGGACGTGGCTGCTGTGATGGTGTGCCTGCTTCCCCTGGGCCCTTGGATGTGGCAGTCTCATACACGCCCGAATTAAAGGGCTGTGACCGTGCTAAGGAATATCATGGGTTCATTTCTGGAAGTAGATCACCGAGACTTTGGATCACCGAGACTCTCTTCCTAATCTGTCTTGGTTTTGAAGCTCTGCCCAAACCTGTTTAAATCACTGACAAAGGGACGGGTGAATGGTAGTTGTCCAGTGGGGGCTCTGGTTGGAGAGAGAATCAGGTGTTATGGATGGAATTTTGTCCCCTCAAACCTGTGTTGCAAATCCTCGCCTCTGTGCCTGCCACGCTAATTCCATTCAGGAATGGGTTGTCTTTGTGAGGTTCATGAGGCAAGCGTGGTATGAGCTGTGCTGAGTGAGTCTTTTAGATCACACAGAGGAGATTCAAGAATCAAGAGGCAGAAATGGAGATGGGGAAGAGAGATGCCAAGACACAGGAAAATCAAGCTCAAAGACCTTCCCCCACGGCCAACAGAGCGAGAAAGAAAGCCTTCCCTGAATTGGGACTTCTAGCGCCCTCAACTGTGAGAAAACACGTGTCTTTATAATCCCACTGCCTTAGAGTTGCTTCTGACTCATAGCAACCCTATATAGGGCTTCTGAGGCTGTAAAAATTTTTTTAAATAAATCATTTTATTGGGGGCTCGTACAACTCTTATCACAATCCATCCATTCATCCATTGTGTCAAGCAAATGTGTACATTTGTTGCCATCATCATTTTCAAAACATTTTCTTTTTACTTGAGCCCTTGGTATCAGCTCCTCATTTTCCCCCTCCCTCCC